TTTGACGTGCACTGCGGTATCGACATTTGGTCAGTTTTTAAAATGTAATGAAAACACATTTGACATCAAATGAACAGCTGTCAGATGAAGGCAGTTTTTGATGTCAGTGATTTTGATTTAATGAAAACCAGCCTTAATAAGTTTGGGGCTTCCGATACAAGTACTTTTTTCGATACCTACTTGGATCGTAGTAAAGAGTATAGAGTAAAAAACTACTTGGTAAATTGAGAATAGTATCGAGTATGTACTTGGATTTACTTGTATCGATTTATATCCATGAACGAAAGACACCATGAACGAAAGACACCATGATCCAACGACTACAGATTACGTAATCCGCCATCGTTGTATTTGTAATCGATTTTCAGAAAAAAGTTTTCGTAGCGTTTTTGATGTTTTTTGGTTCTGTTTACATCGTCTTCTACCTCTTCGTAGTGATATTTTAGCGATTTTATGTGTTTTCTGCAGCGATTTTAATTAGAAATTTTGATTTATTACAAATTTATGATATAATATGAAGTGCTTTATGATTGGAACAAGTTTGTGCGTCTGTTTGATTTGCCAAGAGGCGTAAATTTGCGTGAAAAGTGGGTGCACATTTGTGGTCAGAACGTGGCATTGAAAAATCGACCGGTGCCGATAATATGCGATTGTAAAACACTCTCAATCATTAAAACCATATTTTATGAACTTTTTTTGCTAATTGTCATCAAGTTTCACTTTTTATATTTTATAATAAATACAAATCTAATCGCACTCAATAACCGCGCCTTTTTCGTTTTCTTTGTTTGTTTTCATTTTTAGGCAGATGTCAAAAACGCTCAGAAATTTACTTTTTTCATTCTTTTCCGATTGCGTGATCTTGTTAGTTGGTTCATGTAAAGACACTACTTGGACATGAACGAAAGACACAAGATCACGCCTTCCCGAAAGAAAGAAAAAAGTTATTTTCTAGCTGTTGAAATCTCGACGCCATCTTTGTTGTAAGAAGTAAACAATAGGGACACGATATCGAACAGAAAGTACCGATATGGTACTCATTTAAAGTATCGCTTTTAAAATATCGGGAACCCATGAATATCGGAATAAAAAGACTCGATATTCCAAATATCGATACCAAAATCCAAAAAATTTATATGAATATAGGTCTCGTATATAGGCCGCTGTGGTGTAATGATTGGAAGTGCTCAAAACTTAAAAATGAAAAACAGCTTCCCATTAAAACAAAATCGCTGTTCAAAGTCGACATAAAACTGTAGGGACCCTTTTTGTGCCACAACATTAGGAGCGTTCCTTATCTCCCAGAAATAGTCAGAAAAAGTCCGAAGTAGTCAGATTTAGTCCAAAAAGCGTTCCTTAACTCGGAAATGACAGCTAAAATGAGAGAGCAACACCCAGTGAGAGTGACTCTCATCAGTCCGAAGTAGTCAGATTTAGTCAGAAGAATTTTGTCTGGCAAAATCCTGAAAAGTGTCAAACTCAACTAAATTTAAATTAACGGAAATTAAAGAATACGCAAAAAGTGAGAATAATCTAAAAAGTAAAAAAAGTGAATTGAAATTGGAAGGAGGCAAAAAATAATTGATATAGTAAGTGTTTATTGTGCTTGTGCTTGTGTGAATGTGTTTTGTACATACGTTTCCATTCTTATTTGACAGTAGCTTTGTTGTTGCCATTCTTTGGACCAAAAATTTGGTTTTTTGCGTTCCTTTTCTTTTCCTGTTATTCTCTTTTAGTGAGCGCATTTTGCTTACGCTCTGGCATTTTGACACTTTTCAGATTTTAGTCCAAAAAGATAAGGAATGAACCTATTATTTGCCCGAAGACAATAAAAACGACGAGCTATCATGATGCAATAATACACGGTGTTATCAGTTGGCAACTTCTCGCTCTAATTCCGCCATATTGACTACCTTATGTGAAACAGTGTTACTTCTTTCACTATTCTTTGCCCATTAATATAGTTGAATGCTTTTTATTTTTTCTCAGTATACACACTTTGTTTTCTAAAAAAGTATTTTATCTTATTTTATTTCATTTCATAACGAATATACTATAAAAAAGCAAATTTTGTTAAGGAGAAAATGTGAAATTTTATATTTTTCCCCCATATGGGGATTCATTTCTTCCCGTTTTTCTTCTCATTCTACTGAGCTAAGGTAGTGTCAAATCGAGCTGTCACAACTGATACCACCTTGTATTATTGCATCATGACGAGCTATGGACCATAGCTGTCAAATTATTTTAACACGTACTCTTATGTAGATCATTATTTTGGCGCCGACCGGGCTACGCGACGACTGTGGTTGTGGCCAGATTAGATTGTATAACAACACGTAGAGATTGAGGTGTTGTCTTAAAACACCGAAGTCGCGGGTTCAAATTCCACCACATGCAATCCTAACTATATTACACATTTCTGCTCTTAAAAGCCCAATTTAAATCGGGAAGAATTGTTAATAACATTATCATTGTATAAAATTAAGGTTAAGTGAAAAAACCGCGTGTCTTTTCTTTAAAAATTCAGAATTCAAGAGAGTTTATTACAAAAAATACAATTCTCAGATGTCATTACAGGGTTGCAAAAGGTTCCAAAAAATATCGTTTTAAAACTATCGAGTAGAAAATATCGGAGGAAAATTTTAGTAGACGGACGGCAAATTCTAGAAAAAGGGGGGATGAGGGGGGGGGTAGAATAGGACCCCCTGATTTCAAAACTACCCCCCCTTTTTTCTCGCAACCCTATAGTTCTTATATAATTTATTGTTAAAGTTTTCATATAAACGATGAATAAGATAGCAAAATAACATACAACTTAGTGCTACCAGACTGGAATTTTGAATAATAAAAGCGGATTTTTAATTCGGAATTTTTACTTAGTAGAATTATTATTTCTGTGTTGCCGAAGAAGGGGGGGCTTAACACATTTTGCAGAGAACACCTTTCTGCGTAGGCGGCCTTCGGCCGCCGTTAGGGATTATAACTCTCAGGCAGTAGAATTCTCCTTTCTGTTTTGCGAAGAAAAGGAGCTGAGAATTTTCTTTTGTATTGATTTCCCCTGTATTCCTTTTTAATCATTGCCTTCTTTGTATGTATTGTTTTGTACAATATGGCAACACATGTTATGTGTCAGTTTGCAACCATGTGTTATTGTAAATATGCGTGAAATTCAATGTAATTTACAAGTCGATAAAAGTTTAATTAAAGTGATTTATATACAAGATAAAATAAAAGAAAAGTGTGTAAAGTATTAAGTACAGTGTTATGTGCATTTATATATATAAAAGTATGCACAAATGCTTTTTTGTTAAGGAAACCAAGTGGAACGACTTAAGAAATTTTAACAACAAATAACTTATAAACNTTTTTCATGAATCTTATTTGAATATGATTTGGAGCAATTCTAGTTGTTTTTAGAGTTTTTTGAATTAATGCAAATTGTTTCAATTCTCTTTTACAACCCCAAGTGTGAAACGTGAC